TTTTAACACCGAGAGGATTGCTGAAATACGACTTTTCCAAGACATGAAGAATCGCACGCACAAAGTAAAACGTTCATCAACTTTCATCAATAGCCAAAGTGCAACCGAAATCGTTTACGAAAAATTTTACAAATTCGCCGACATTATAGTAATTGCCTAATTTTGTGTCATGCTATATTGAAAACATGTCTCGATAATAAATATATCGCTACTCATTCAATAAAATCTTCGTCATCTCATTTTGATTCTATAAACTCTACTATAGCATTACCTCGAAATCTTCCAATATACAAAATTTTCGCCATGATAAAAATGTTCATAAGTATCAGAATACCAAAGGGGTTCTAACCACACATGAAACTTGTCAATATTTCAAAAAATTGTTTTTTTCTATGATAATCGACTCCATTAGAAAAATATGTTCGATTCTGGAACCAATATGTAACCGTTTGGAACCTTCCTCTTGCCGATTTATTCTCCGTTCATCAATGTCTAAATGTGCCCTCTTTACACACTTTTCCACTAACTTTCAAATGTGAAAATTTCGGGCATTCGTATTCCATTTATTCTTCCACCTATTTTAATCATTTTCTATAAAATTCATACGCACAACTCAAGTTTTGAAGCTTGTGTTAACATTCGATACTTCAAAAATTGCAATCGAAATATCTAAAAGAAAATCAACTGACATTCAATTTCTTCGAAATCCAGCTGCTTTGCTGAGACACTGCCTCATGTCTGCGTATTCCATTTTCGAAAAAAATGTTTTTAAGTGCGCTTTATAATTGTCTCTCTTGAAGAGTTTAAATAGATCGATACACCACCTAAATAAACAATGAAATTCATAAATACATAAATCACACATGTAAATTATACTATAACATTCATAGATATTTCACCTGTGGCAAAAAATGGAATATGAGCAAATAAGTAGACTCGTTCAGATGCAAATTTATGAAAGTCTCAATCGCTTGGCGAATTTCTTAAAGAAATTTATAGTTCTTTGAAAGTACCAAATACATTTCTTGCATTATAGACATCTCGTACACAAGTTAGGTTCCTCTGCGTGATGCTGCAATCATGAAAAAAGCACAGGTTCTTTTTGAATTATGACTTTTTTCAAACCAGAAATTTTGCCGCTCATGTTAGATGCCCCATCGTAACATTGTCCTCGTAAATTATTGAAACTTAAGTCAAATCGCATAAAAACGTCTTCAATGATTTTCAATAAAGCGTTTGATGTACTATGTGTCTGATAAAAACCAAGAAAAATCTCTTGAATTGTTAAATCGTGCAATACAGTCCACAGACGAATTAAGCAAGACTTATTTTTTGAACTGCATATTGCTTGTGCACAAGATAAATGTAATTCTCCAGATTCGTGTTTCTTGAAAGCAATGACTGCATTTTTCCAACAATTGAAGCCATCTTCAACGAACGCATTTAAAGATACGTGGCAACTAGAACTTGAAGGAACTGGCAACTGTTTTTCTTTAGATTCAATGCAAATTGTACATATAGCTTTCATTTCCGCGTTAGGTGTCAACCACTTATAAGTATTTTGCCAACGTTTAAAAGCAGCAGGTATTTTTTCTCCTGAAAATTAACGTAATAATAATTATTTTAAATAAAATATAAAAAATATTACCGTATTATAGGCAATTAAAAAAGTATATACAACTGAATGCAAATTAAAATGGGATTCAAAAATTAAAAATGTAATTTAAATTTAATATAATTTATTTTTTCTCTATATTTTATATAGAATTTGAAATTAATAAGTTTTAGATTGAAATATACCTGGAATAGAATGGCTTGAGAGTTTTCGTTGTAGTATTTTCTGGCTTATTTATTGTGCTGGATTGTACATGTGATGACAAAGGAGATGTATCCTAAAGTAAATAAAATAAACATACATACAAAATATAAATGCTTTTAACAAAACTATTGGTATATAATTATGAAAATGAGATGTTTATATGAGAAATGTATCAGTTACATTTTCGATTGATTCGTAATCATAAACAACTATATCGGCGAGATAATCTCGCAGCGACACAGCATTTAGTTTTAAATATTATATTTCCTTTCCGGAATTTATTTAACATTCATGGACTTTTACACATGACTTAAATAAAGGGATGTAATCATGGTTAAATTGTAATAATATTTATAATTACTGTGTCTATTTTCAAATCACAATATTTTTTTATTGCTTCAAAAATTGTATTATTTCTCTGTTCAATTTTTTAAATACTTTTGGGGTTTGGAACTCCATACGCAGATATTTTTGGCGTATGGAGTGCTCCATACAATCCGCGCCGCCCATGATTTATTGGTCACATGCGTCTAAACATTGTTAACATGCAACCCTACAAGTTTGTTAGTGCACTTGTACCGACCTGTAGGTTAAGAAATTTAATATCCTTAGTAACCTAAATAAACAACCACCCTGTCATTGCAAGTCAACATTACGAAAAATCACGTGGTAATTTACAAGATAAGTAGTAATCAAAGAAACGCATTATTTTGGGGGATGTTCATTATTAATTACGAAAGTAAGCCAAAGGTTTGTCTTTATAAAAGCAATAAGTGTAAATTACCTTGCCAAGTACGCAAGCATTACATCTTCTGTAATCATGGCTACGTGATTTTGTAATTGCAAATTTTTGAATTCTTCGTATGCCTTCTCGAATCAGACTTTAGATTTTTCAGGGATTTAATCTCGTGTGGCATCCGCAGCTGCATCCCAAAATTTCTTGAGGTACAGACGAATTTTCAGAGTCCATCTTCCTCGAGCCATGGTATTTTTTTTTTTTTTAATATACAAGTGTATTGTCGAAATAGATATATCGCAAGCAATTCCCAACAATATCGATTATCGTGCCGCAACACAATCCATGTGTTTCATATCGCAGTAATGTAAATTTTCTCAAAAATATTGAGATTTTATGGTTACCGATAAAACGCTGAACATACCACGAAATGTTAGTGTTATTACTGCCTCGTTCAAATTAAAAATCTCGGCTCCGCTACGCTCCGCCTCGATTGTTAACTTTTGGCATCGGCAGTAATAACATTCATAACATATCTAGGTATCTTAATAGCTATTACCATTCGAAAATATGGTACAGTTAATTCAAGGTGCACAAATTTCACTATTATTGCGCAGCTTCTTATAAATATTTAATATTTTGAATTTGGCAAATGTTACACCTTCATGCAGATAATTTAACTTGCAAACTAAATTGCACTTCCGAGCTACGTTGTGCAACGAGAGATAAATCTGAATCAACATAATTAAATAGGACCAAGTTCGCTCAACACACTTCACAGCTGAACCGAGGAAAGATGGACCCGAGCTAATGCGTGAGACGATAACGACATCGGTACGGACGGAAAGGCACGTCGGGGTGTCTAGATCTTTCCTTCTGCCTTTTGCATACGGCGGATGGTGCGAATCGTCCCATCCTGGCGGTGACGGTCTAGTACGCACATCCATGTGCAAATCAATGCAACTATTAAAAAAAGTCCCGTCCGTCCGTACCGTACTGACTTGTTTTATTTCTGTTAACCTGACAGCCCGCGCTGGGACTCGGGAAGCTGCGCGGTTGAGATCCACAGACCCTTCCTAGGTTTTCATAAGTTATCTCTAATTATATTACTTCGATATACGCGATTTTTTTTATTTTTACTTTTCTCTCCTATACTATGAAAAAGTATTGGAATCGCTTCAGCAATAAGATTTTGAAAATTCCATATTTTTAAAGTTGTTTTGACCTCTAATTTAGCACACACGTGATGAGTAAGGTCTATTGGAACTGTACCAAAACTAATTATTGCTGGTGGAAAAGAGATACATGCAATTGTGTACCCGAAAATCGGGATGTCTGTTAAGCGTAACTGTCGGATTATACTAATGAACCCGTACGCTCACCACGTTGGGGCGCCAATTTTATCTAATCACCCGGAATCATACATTAATATTTTTAAATGGAACACAGACCAAGGACGTGCTAGAGAAAGTTCTTTTCTAAATTATAGGGGCAATGTTTAAGCAATTTTCCGTTACCTGACAACAAAGAATCTAAAAATCATCGTTTTCAGCATTTGTCTTTCTTTATGTACTACGTAAGCAGTGTCCGAAAAAGTAAAAATAAGTAAGCAGTTTTTGATAAATGGTTTAAAAATCGTCTAAATTTCACGAAAAATTACGCGAAAGCTACTCATATTTTCGAAAAATGTACAGGTTATTAATGCCTTTAGAAAACAGATTTAATTAAGGAAAAAAATCTCCATCTTCAATTTTATAGGAAGACGCCAAAAAAATGTACTTCGCTACACACACACATGATATAAATATATACACACACACGTTCTCCGAGGACAAAATTTGTAGTCATTTTTGAGAAAATTTTGATACTGTAATTGAGGCTTCAAGAAAAGTACCCTCAAAAATTAAAATCAGTTTCAAACTTACAGGCCCGCGAGTTCCGAATCTATTGGGGAATTTCAGTTATGGAAAACCGTCTAAACGGTCAAGGCGCACACACGTGTTCATGTATATACACTGTTCGGGGAGGAAACGTCGAAATTTCGAAAATAAGTCCAGGCAATTTTAAGCATATTTTGTCTAATAAACTACTTGGATATTCCGAATGGCTGGACCGCACTAATCTCTCAAAAGTTGGTTTGAAAAAATGCATTTTAGGCAAAAATTTGCTTTGCGGAAGCATATAAACACTCTAGAAACATGCTTAAAATGGTCTTAAGTTTACTTTTTTTGAAGTTTCGACGTTTCCTCCCTGGTATGCACACATGTGCATACACATATTTATATGAGCGCACACCTGTTCTCTGCCAGGGTACCTGAACAAAGATGCCTCCATTATGTTAATAAAATTCTGTTTGCTTATACTTTTGCCAAGAGTTTAAGATTAATCACCAATAGAAAGTTGTGGAATTAAATACTTTTTGTACTACTCCGTGGAAGTATGAAATTTCACAAGTAATTTTAGACACTACCACTTACACTGTAATTATCTTCAATTCATACACATTTCCTCCATGTTTACACATAAATGCAATACAAATACTGTATAAACAATATGTATACATTTTAAAATCACAATTTGCCATGATTTTCCATTGAAACAGAAGTTCCTGGGTCAGAGACCCACTCATAGCATTCCGTTTGAAATTTTGGCAAGAGCTCTGCCAGGAGACCCTGCACACGAGCATTGCATTGACATGCATTATATTGCCTTGTATCTTATACAAAATGGCACACGAGCACTCGGGCAGTTCTGCGCACAATAAGTGTTATTCTATGACACGGTACTGAAAGTGCATCAATGCTTAAATGCTCGATGCAAGACGTGAGAAATTCCCAATCTTGCAGTAGCACAATTACACGGTTTTGTTCCCATACCACCTTATAAATTAATTTTAAAAAATCTATCCTTTGTGTATTATTCACACAGACATATAACCAGAAAAATTAAAAGGAACACATGCACATTTAAAACTTGTGGTTAAGGTTTTTACTGTCAACTTTGCAGTCACTCTCAAGATTCAGTATGGTAAAGACAGGACATCACATCTACACTGGAATTGCAAACTGGTTCACTTTATTCCCTTCAAAATGCGTGATATATAAGAAAAAAAGAAAAGAGAATGCTCATTACAAAAAGAGCCAAGGACCTACTGGGGAATAAATTGTTTAATAATTATTTTCACTAATTAATTTTTTGATGTCAAAAAGGTAAAATTATTTACTTAATTAAAAACTATCATTAATGAAATGAAAAGAACATTTTAATTGACCATAGGATCTATACACATAAACATATATAACAATATATAATTCTATATATTTCAAGTAGGTTTTAATCCCACTAAATAACTACATCATTAAGATATACACTAAAACATATATAAAGGTGCCATAATTATTCCTTTGCATTGACAATTTTCACTATAATTAATTGCATTTGTGGGAATTCAGCCAAAATGGCATGAGAAAATATATTTCACATTATACAAAATACAGACCCTTCTTGTACTATGATGGTATTTCAACATTTGCCCACAGAAACATGAAAGCTCCAGAAAAATTCTATCACTTGCTAGGGAGGAATTGTTTTAATCTACAAGAAATTATACACTTCAAAACATTTATGAAAAATAACATGCAAAAGCAATGCAATAAAACATATATAACACTCGGGCTTTTGGTCTGGTTTTATGAATCTTTAAGAACAGATATATATAAAAAAAAAAAAAAAAACACTAAATGGGCATATTGCACTTAGCATTGTGATTATCAATTCAAATGAATAAAAAATGTTGCTAACTATTATGAAACTGGGTATGGCATGGTGTTCCAATTGGCTACTAGTGTTAAATGTTCACTATATATATAAAAAAAAAGAGAGATTCAAAGTACTTTATTTATGACTGTAAGCATTTGTTCTCTTGTAGATTAAATACATATACAAAAGTGGCATAAATTTTTGAACACTGAAATTCATAGTTCTCTGTATTTTTCTCCAGTAAATTAATTTTTTGACTAGCTACCAACATGGCTTAATGTGAGCCAGTAGAAACTCGACAGAAATGCAAATGTTGCATACTTTCCTGTAGTTCATTTGTATTCAAGGACCAGGAATGGGCCTTTATCATAAATTATTATTTTCCAATATAAAAACAGTAATTTTGTAGATTTCTAATATCACATTTTCAGAAATTAAATTGTTTTTGGAACAAATGTGGTCAGTAATCACCTCCAAATTCAGATATTACATTTCAAGAGAAGAAACAACAGTAAATTATCTTATTGTGTAAATGAGAGTTGAAGCGGAATACAGGTGGGGGGGAATTAAAAATTGAATGAAATGGATTACCTATAAATGAAGTAAAGTAATTGTGTTGATTTTGGCAACTAGCTCACATCCAACTGAAAAACAAGACTTGGATTGTTGTTTGCAAGTTGTATGTTAAGCTTTTTCCATGAAAGTCATCCCTTCAACCAAAAACAACAAAGTCATTATTTATGCAACAGGTGTTAATTGTCAACATTTATCCAAAAACAGAAAAGATATTACACTAACAAATGAACATCATTCTCGATCTGATTATGTGAACAACAAAAGACACAGAAAGACCAATATCCCACTCCCATTCTCAAGCAGAAAAGGTTAATACACTGACCACACATGCTTCATTTGTGATACAAATATAATCTGAATGGAATCTGAGACCAGGTACAGTGTTAATGACATAAATACTATATATACATGGAATAACAGAAATATTAAAACAATGAAGAGTAAAAGTTATAGGAGGAAACTTCACTTCTTATGTTCTTACATAAAAAAGGGCAAAACTAGCAAAATCTACATTTTGCCGAACACAGTGGGGGAAATCTTATCCAATAAAAGTAGTTCAAGTACTGCCCACATCACTCATTCGTTCTTCCCAAATTCTTCTGCGATGTTCAGGATTAAAAACATGTGACAAATCTTGTTCTGCACGTTCTATACGGGATTGAAAACGGCATCGGTCCCGCCCTATTTCTTCCCAAGGGCCTCTCCGTGCTTCCCGGTATGCAAAGAGCCAGTGAACCATGGGGTGCACTTTTGCGAGTTTTTTTGAACCAGGAAAATGCACCTGAAATGGAAATTTCAAAAATACATTAGAAGATGCTTGGTACTGAAAGTACTGAATATACATCTCATTTTTATGATTTAAAATTATGTAAATTTTAGCAGACCCAGTATATATCATGTATTTGAGAACAATCTCCGATTGTTTTGTTTTAAAAATAGAAATAGTAAAATAAAATAAAAATAATAACAACGAAATCTACTCAATTCTTTTCTGAATACATTATTACATACAAGACTCAAGTTATAAGATTTACTCATAAAACATAATGGTTACTTACTTTTTTGGGAACTTTTTCTATTTTTGATATACAAGAATATTCTTTATGCCATTTTGCATTAATATCTTTCAGTCTGTCTGATACAGGGGAAAATGCATCATGTGTGTATGTGCTTTCATTAATTTTGGCATTTATGTCTTTCGAAGGAACTATGTAGCAGAAATCCACCTAAAAGAGAAATAAAGTAAGAACAGTTTTTAAATTCCCAACAAATTAAGAATTATATTTAGATTCATGTTCTCAAATAAAAATGTAATTTGCTCCAGGATCTTTGCATCTAAGATATAACTATAAAACTGAAAGAAATTACATTTTTAAAAACATATCATAGGATTACATAATTTACTTAAAAAAAACAACTTGCAATTTTCTAAGTAAATATGCTGAAAATATTTTGGAAATAATTTCGTATGAATTGCAAAACACACAGAATTAAAATTAAATTTTCATTTTTTTATGGAATTCACCGAATGAAATATGTACCTCAAATAATTCAATACATTAAAAGTTAAATAATAATAATAATTTATAAAAATGAATCACTTTGCCAATTAACAAAGGAATTTCATCAAAATCCTTAAGTGTTCTGTTGCATGCAATTTAACAATTAAGATAAATTTTTTAATGAAAAACTAATAAAACATGCACAGCTTGAAATGCAGGAAATATTAATACCTCATCGCAGTCTTCTGCATCAGATTCACACTCTGCAGCACTGCTATATTCACTACCAGAATCTGAATCAAGTCCATCATCACACTCTGACTCATCCAAATCCTGCTCATCTCTTTCAAAGACCACACTGTCCTCACTGTCAACTGAACATTCTGATGCCACTCTAATCCTTGGTGGCAACACTACAGGAGTAAAAGTGGGGCTTGATGAGAGTGATGAGTCGTCACACCCACTCTCAGGCAAATTTGAAGAACAACAAGTTAGAGAGTTCTTGTTGTTACACACTATTTCTTCATTCATCTTCTCAGTTTTAAGAGAGCCATTTTCTTTCTTTGGATGGTTTACATCTGACTCTTTAACTTTAACACACTCTGATATAAGAGTTCGTGGTGGTGGAGAATGAAGCCTAGTTTGTAGCATGAAATTTTTAAGCCTTAACTCTTTCCTTTCATTGCCAAATTCTGCCCCAACTCTGTGAACACTGGACATTCTATTATGTTCACATCGCCAATTTTGACAATATTGCTCTGGCACACTGCAAGTAAACACGTCTTCTTGTACTTGAAGATCAATATTTTTCCTTTCCTTTTCCCTTGTGTTGGAGTTTCTATACTTATTAAATCTTTTCCTCTCATCCTGTCCTTTTGAAAACACAACAGACTGTGAGTTTTTATCATTTGTTCTCATTTTACTTAAATTTATATTTTCTATTTTAGTATGTCGCATATGTGGAGACTTAGCTCTAGCAAACTTTGAAGGTATAAATTCTTCACATTTATCATGCATTGCTGTAGATCTTTTATGTGGATTCTGACTAGAATTGTTGAGAGGTTGAGAATAACCACTTCCACTCAGTCTGCTACCTTTCCTGTTAAATGCATCGTTTCTTTTCCTTGAATTTCTAGACTTCAAAAATATGTGATTTTGTTGCAACGGCATAACAGGACTACCCAAATGCCTTCTTGACTTTACCTCCTGCACAGACCTTGCAGCTATAAATGCTTTAGCAACATCTGCATAGGATTGTTTGGATGTAATATGCTGCATATCAGTTTCCTTTGCACTTTCATTTTTCAGATTCAAGTCGCATAAATGAGCATCAGCAGGTACTCTATTCAATTTAATTTTTTCTCCAATAGTAATATTACCACCATTGTTTTGACTATGGTTCTGATTTGCACTAGGCATATTTTTGGGTTTCTCAGGTGTAAAAAACTCACAAGGTCTGGCGAAAAGAAGAGACCTGAATTCCAATGTCGAATTTTTCCTGTTATTAAATTGCCCAAAAATACTTTGAGAAACGGCATCACCAATGCTAAAATATTGTTGTGCATTGCTATCCATTGTAGCTTGACATGCAGTATCCACCAGCTGTCGAAAAATCACATCCCACACTTGATGAGGTTCCCTACTAGCAGAACCGCCCTGACTCTTGCTGCCGACAAATCCTCCCACTACTCTTGAGAAAGTAAAATGAGAGAATTTATTAAACTGATCAAAACACGATTTTTTTGAATGACAATCCTGATTTTTTGTAAATTCATCAAAGGTGAACTTGGCATTACAAGAAATGTTTGGCATTTTCTTAAAACAAGTCTCTTCAACAGTGGGCCTATTCACAGGAACACCGAACTGAAATGACTTCGACATCTTTTCTGTCGGTTGAACAGCTGATCGAAGAAACGGAAGAGAATGAACTTTCCTCCTACTTCCAACACAAAAACTTTGGAGATCCATATCACAGTCACTGGCACGTTACTGAAAAAACGGCTTTACAATAAAAGTTTCAATATATTTATTTTTGTACACAACTGGTATATAGATCCATGGTCAACGTTTGTAAATTAATTTCGGTTGTTAATAAGACTGCGCCAACTGAGTTTTCTAGGACCAGGAAAATCTGTACAAGGATGATATGTGTCCTTCACTGGCAAGACAGGTCGCACATAACAATGTAGAATTCTTCCTCGAAACCGCCCAGAACTTGCTTTCACGTTGATCGCACGATAATTAAAAATTGATTCGGTCGAAACACTATCAAAATCGCACATTTGAAGCGCCATTTTCGCAGCTACAATTGGAGCACTGTAAACAATACTATTTTCATTCCTCCATGTTGCGAAGACTATGACTATGGTGGATGATGGCGGCTGAGGCTGTGACGATGACGTCATAAACCGTATTGCGCGTAGATTTCTTGAGACATTCAACAAATAATTTACGATATTTCAGTGTAATGGTAATAACATTGTTTTCGAAAATAAAAAAGAAGTACTTAATAATCACGTTAACAATACCATGAGATGTTGATAGTTATTTATTTTAAAAAGCCAAAAACTATTGCATCAGATTCTAGTACATTCTTGCCTTTACCACCAGAATGCGCTAGAAGGCACGGCAGTGTACTGTGCGCGGGATAGTATGAATACCAATTATTATCTTCCTGTTAATATGATGTTCGAAAGTTAAATAAAGAAGGCATAATTATCTTACCGTAGTCATTTAATAATAATTTCGATGTGCCCATGTGTTTATAAATGAATAAAGTATCATTATAGTAAAATGCATACCATCATACTGCTGATATTTATTTTGAGAAGCCTTAATAACTTTTCATAAAAATCGGTATTCGTATTGTACCATAAACCTTTAAACATGCCATACAATAGAAATAATTTACTTATTTGAACTATGGTTGTAATTAATTGCATTCACTGAAAACTTGACCAAGCAAGGTTAGGATTCTGAGATTTCATCTAATGAATCCTCCCCCTTTAATGCCCGCATTTTGCCATGTTTCGTTTGTGTAAATTGGTCCCTATCCAGTTTATCTTGATTATTTTGTGGTGATAGAGTGTTGCGAAAGTACAGCCCGAAAGCGCGTTGATGGCATTGATCTTGCCGCCAGAGATAGTACATGTTCACGGACGATGCAGTCCGCTGTAATAAGAACAAATAAGAACAATTTATTTTCATGCAAATGACGTCGAACGACATCTTGGTGGCAACTGTACCCTTTACTTTTATTTTGCCGTACTTATGACGTTTTGAACCAAGTTTTCGGTGTGTGTTTGGGACAAAAATATTTGGATAAAAATGGAATCAAAGCAGATATGCACATTTGCATGGAAAATCAAACCATAAAAGTTGTAAAGGTTATGTTTAAAATGAAAGATACGTAGGTGTCGTGTACAACTTCGGTGTTTTGTAGTTTGAATGCTTAATAGTTCTTGAGAATGGAAGAAGACGAAGTGTTTGAGGATTCTAGTACGCCCATGTGCGATGACAAGAAAACAGCCCCATTGTCAAGTAGTAATGTGTATCATAGCGCTCAAGAAGTAATAGTCGAAAGAGCTTCAATCAATGAAGAAAATAACGTGCCACCGGATTTTCGAAAAGCTGCGTCTGTGTCAGAAGAAAGTGCAAAACCTCGAAGAAAATCCCATCACACCTTCCCTCATCAGGTACTATAACACTTCTCAGTACTTCATTTCATACTGTCATTTCCTTTTTATCCTTCACACTTGATGCTAATTTATTTGTTTTGTGGTTTAAGTCTCTTCCAACATTTTATGATGGTGAAAGGACCGTGGATTTTGTATTAGTGTGGGATCAGCTAAATCCACGATCTGGTACTGAAGAAGCTGTGAAGAGGAGACGAGTGTTTGAAGAAAATCTTGCTCATGAAGGTTGCTCTTACTATTACTGCAAATTTCTAGAGTGTGATTCACTGAGCCTGACAGAAATGCGTATACTTTTTTCATTATTGTTTTTCTGGATACTTTTCTGTTGTAGGTCTTGAATTAGAATACGAGAAACCAGAGCCAAATGGATTGACATTTATTAAAATTCATGCTCCTGTGGAAGTTTTGAGGCGATACAGTGAAATCTTAAAACTGAGAATGCCAATGAAAGAGGTCAGGGTCACTCTAATATGTGAGAAAATGTTATTTTATTTGTGTGAAGTTGATATATTTTTACAACCATTTAAACAGTAAAAAATCTCAAATGTCAGTGATAATGAGAGAATCTTCATTAGTATAGAACCATGCAGTAAAATGTATTTTTTTTTTTCTAATCAATTTTTGAAGGACAAGTTGTTTGCAGATAGTGTAATCTTCTCTACTGACAGTAATAAATGAATTTTGAGTGCTAATAATTGTCTCTACATGTATATTACTTTTTGTTACTAGGAACTGTGCCCGATAGAGAGAGGCGTTAAATTGAACCCTCTCTTACATGCTACTATGTATATTTCTCAGAAGGTATTTGTGAAATTTTCAGTTTTTTGTTGGCCTGGACTTTTGGTGTTGGGACTTCTCTAATAATTGTTTGTTGCCCTAACTTCATAAAAGTGTGTTGCAGTTCATGTTAGTGTAGTGTATTTGTTTCCATTGTTTTATTTCTTCAATTCTTTTCTTCTCATTGAATTTCTATACATCATGCTCTATTTGGGATCTGTGGTGATGGAATAGAAAATGCAAAATCAGGAAGAGACTAGATTCGGGCACAAGTGCCTTCAAAATTTGAGAAGAGGGGGTGCTCTCATCTGTGCTTGCTATTAAAAATCTGATGACTTTGAAATTGTGAAAAGTAAGGATTTCAGAAATGTTTCATTATGTTAAATGTTTCAGAAATTGTTCACAGTTTGAGATTTGTAAATTTGAAAAATTGGAAAAGATCTGATGACATAATTTTGTATGTCTGGAACTTTTCTGGACTTTTCTGAGATATACAGGGAAAGAATTATGGTTCGTATAAATGATAAATGGAGAAATGGAAGTGTACTAAGTGAAAGTAAAACAGTGATGATGAAAATTGATACAATTGTTTGTTGGAACTCTCAGAAATGATAGTACATTATTGATAACTAAATATATGATTCTCGAAATGTAGATTTGCAAAAGATGACAGGAATTTCAGAGTGTTATTTAGTTCAAAATTATGAAATAAACTGCTTGTGTGTGATGCTTTGATAATGAATTCACATCCACAATACATACACCTACAATTTTTTTAAGTATGGTTTGACTTACATTACAAAATTTTTGAGATCTCCCACAATATTTATCAGTAAATGAAATGCATGTCATTTTGAAATACTATTCACCAGAAAAAAATAGGGTGCTCTTGATGCTATTATATCAGTATTGTTTCATTTTTTGAGTCTCCATTTTGGAAAAACATTTGTTTATTCTGGCTAAGGTCTTCTGTCTACTCCATTAAAGAAAGTGATCCTTATATGATTTTTACATACATTTATGTAGGGCTATTGTTTCTATTTCAACTATGTGAAATTTGTGTAAATATAAATTATTAAATATTTGTCTATAATTTCTGATACTAGTCTGGCTATTTTCATTTCATGTTACTTTAAATCGTGAATTCTTTTAGCACAGTTGTGGCGTAGTTGTGGAGAGTAAGGGAGTGGGTCACTCTGGGTGACATCAATTCAATATTGTATTATTTCAATGTTTTATTTAAAATGTGTTAAATTTGGCAATGATTATATAAAATATTTCATTAATATTTTCTTCAGTTATTGAAGTTATTTTCATGGTAAAGGGTGCAAGTTCTTTGTTTGAAATTACGTATCATGGGCATCACCAGCACCGAATTATTGGGAGACACTTAAATAGATAAGATATAGATTAGAGGGGAGTTCCCATCTGTGTACACCATGTACCAAAAATTATGGTGGTAGGGAGACTGTGCTTTTGGTTATAAATTGTTTTGCTCTGAAACTTAGTCAGCCAATTAAACTATAGCTGCATCAAAATATGATAAATGTTCGTCTTTACTTATTTGTTAAATTCTATTTTAAGGAGTAACAATTGTTCTGAAATTTTATTCTAATTATTGCATGATAAAAATAATGTTTTATTTTGTAAAGTTTTGAAATTGGTAATACTTTAAACATAACAAGTATAATAGACAAACATTTTGATTGTCTACAAAAATCTAAAAGTTTGTCTAAAAGACAGTTTTCAATATCAATTGTTAAATTTGATTGGAATGAAAGGAAAGTCACCTTAAATTTGCCCTGGGTGACAGAAACTAGCTGTCACTGTAACACAGTAACATTTTAATGTTGGTCAGAAAACATTTTCTGTCAGCAATTTAATTTTGTAGGCTGTTTGCTTTCCACTTGCTTTGTAAAAATGATGAAATAGAGTTAACCCTTGTGAACCTGAATTCCAAGGAACTGAAATAATTGGTGTTTGTGTTCAAAAAATGCATATGATTTTATTATACATATTCGTATTTATCCTATGTTTCCTTGCCAGGACCAAAATTTTGTTTATGCTAAGACAAATTTCACATTAAATGAGTACGACTGATTAAATGAGGGTTTACTCTAGTTACTTTCACTTGTTTGTAAACACCTGCTTAAATATTGCCTGGCCTACTTTAAACTCGTGCAATACCCATTTTATATGCATATTACAGTGAATGCTGTATGGTTATACAGTATACGATATCCTTTTCTTTTATCTCCATAGATTGGCATTCACTGAAATAAGAAATGAAATTTGAATATTTCAAATTATTCCTTGGTTAAATTTTGTATTTACTAACTCACTTTAGTCAAAGTTGAATTTGGTGAAGGTGAAACAGAATATGTCCTGAAAACATGTTCTACATTTCTTCTTCTTCTTTTTTTTCTTGATTTTCTTGTATATTACGTTGAGTGTACAGTTTTCTGTTCAGAACATTAAGGAATTCTTTTTGAGAAGCTTTTTATCTTTCTGGGTTTTTTATTATTTTGATAGCATATTACAATTTTTTAATATTTCTTATTTTTAAAGTATATGTGTTAATTTAATGTAAGAAATGACATAAGAGAAATAATTTAATGATTTATTTGATGTTAGTAAAAGAACCTTACCCTTAATAATTGTAGGTATAAAGATTTACCAGCAAAAGTGAACTGTTATTATAAATGTCAGTAAATATGTTTTTCGTCTGTATTGAAAATTGGATTCAGTCAAGGAAATACTTAAAAAAATTAAAATAACACATAACTTCCCTGGAATGTTGATTTTCACCGAAACATCTCTCTGCACATAATGCACACGCTGTATTAATTTTTAATAAGAAATATTCAACTTGTAGTTATGAACTTATATTTTGCCTTCAATTGAAATTAGCAGAACACAATACTTTTCAGTCATCCTGTTGCAATCCTTCTTTTTCATTGAGGCAGTTTTGTTATCTTCTCAGTTTTTTAAATTATATTAATTTTTATGAAAATGCAAAACAATCACAAAGAAGACCACTCACAAATATATTATTTGAAGTTTATTTGCATATCAGTCATGTGTATTATCATTGTACTCCAAGTAGTACTATTAAATTAACCTTTTTAGAAAACTGTGTTATGAGTTTTATTTACAGAAATTTGTAAGTTTATTATTATTTTCTATAGATAAAGGTATGATTTCAAGAATAGTTTTTGTTTGTTTCCATGGACTGTTAACTTCGATGGAATCAGTTTTACATAGTACATATTTCTTTCACTGCATTGCTACCAGTACACATTATTTGCAAGTAGATTATTTCAGGTTCCATGGCTTGATGCTTTATGCTGTGTTTTGTTCAAAACTTTATACTTATTGCAGAACATTATTTATGAAAATATCCTTTTTTTTCCTTCGTTTTTTCTGATATGTTTAAAAATTCAAGGAAAGGTAATTGAAATAGCAATAAATGTCCTGTTGTATTTCCTATCAATGAAGTTTTATTTTAGGTGTTGTTTGAAGTTTTTCTGCAAATCTTTTGATATTTAGTGGCTATTAAAAATGTTGATCATTGTAAAGGACGTCAATTTGGGTTGATTAAAATTATTTATTTTTATAGATTCCTGGACTTCAAGATGTCCATGCAAAAACAAATTCACTACTAGATGAAATGAATACTTGGTTTCATCATGTTATGAGTAAGTTCTATGTGGATACAGATGTCTTCCCTCCAAGGAGCCAAAGATTCACTGCTGTTTACAGCCGTGATAAGGAGTATTTGTGAGTACATTTGTTGTTATAGAATATGTATAAAGAAAGGAAAGAAAATAATTAATTTTTATCGTGTTTAAAATAGTTCTATTAGAGTTAGTGTTTACATTTTTAAATATATAGTGTGAAGAAAATATTGTAATTGGGAGGAGAGAGGGTTTAGCATGCCATGCCATGCCATGGAAGCAGCGGAGGGGGGGGGGGCTTAGTTATGCACTCTCCTCTTCTCAGGCCTGCTTGAGAGTCCCTGACATTAAGGTTTTTTCAACTGCTGTGTCAGTGACTGTCCAACCATCAGGACATCTACATATGAGCAATCCAATGCTGTACATCATGTTTTTTTCAAAATTGATATTCTCTATTTACCTTACTTGATATTCAGTGAAGTTGACCTAAATTTATAATAAATGAGTTAGTAGTAGGAAGTGGTGTGGGTTTAATGTTGGTGTCTTTAGAAATTGAAATATCTGGCATAGTTTCATCATGGTACTTTAATTTTGCACAAAGCTTTTTCAGCCACATTCTTGCTTTTGTTGCAAGTTATAAGCAAAACAGCCCTTTCGTCTTCGCTGGATCCACAACCATGACACAATTGCACTAAAGATGGCCACAATGCAGCTGAAAAAGTTTTGTGCAAAAATAAAGTATTGTTAGAAAACTATGCCTGATATTACAATTTTTAATTACACTGGCCAATTAAAAATCTCTAGAAAAACGAATTTACGAAATTAGTTATTGATCATGCTCTTATTTTAAAACTGATGAAATTTTCTATAGTATACATATGTGTAGTTTCTGTGGTATGACAATCTTCACATAACAACTGAACAAACTATTCAAATAGTATGAGGTTCAAGTATAGAGCTGCTGCGATGTGGCGATGGGGACTTGTGAAATGAGTTTAAAATATAATGTGTTGGGCATATAATATTTAGTGTGTCAATATTTTTTGTTGTATTAAAAGAGATTTGGAAGAGATGGCTGCTTTATTTGACCATTAGACTGAAAAGGTTGGGGCTTTGTTGTATCAACTCTACTTTGATGTTCATTTCATTAGTTTTATACCTATATGTACTTCTTTCTACAATACAATGGAAAATGTAAATAAAAATGTTATTTAAGACTTTCTGTTATGATTGAAATGCTAAATATTGGGTTATGTTTCCAGGTTTGACATTCAGGCTGAAGGATTCTTTACTCCTGCTATTCACTCTCGTATTGTGCAGTTTATATTGGATAGGAAGCGTTTTTCTGAGGATGAACAAGACGATTTTGCATTTGGCATTGAACGATTAATAAATGAGTACGTTTATACTGCAGCTTATCCTTTACATGATGTAAGTGTTTTGTATTACATGAGAGAGGCAAGGATTGAAATGTTTGTAACATTTCACTTTAATGCATATTGATTATCAATAATTAAGATATTAATGCAATATCTCAGAAAGTCTTGAGTAAATTTGCAGATAAATATTAATGCCTAAGATCTTTAATTAAAGGACATCAGTTTTTATTTGTCTACGGACTTAAGTAAATACAATGTTGTTTTGTGTATTGAGGTTCAAAATATTGTTTCTTACCCTCTCTTTTTTTTATATTTGAAATTCCCTATGGTTTGCCTGATTCCCTCCATGTATCATCAATGGTTATCTGAGGAACCTCCCAAGGCCTTCACTGTATCCCATCACTCCCTGGGAATTGTGTAGTAGAGAGCTCGTATAATGCAGAGTAGTCAGGTGATTACCTAATTACTAATGATCCATAAATTACCTAAGACTAATTTTGAGTATTTTGAATACCCCCTTTTCCCCTGTAAAGCACCCATAATGCATGCTTGAATCCACCTAAATAATTACATAATGCTCGCAATCCCCCCCACACACACAAATACACACTTACAAGAAGTAAAAATAAATTATATTACAGTAAAAACAATTTATATTAATTTTATTTGTGCTGCATATTAAAGTTTGTAATAGTTTAAGTTAGAATTAGATGACTATACCTAACAATAAGGAGGAGGACAATTTTTGAGTGAAGAAAGAATTCGTAGGCTTAAAAATGTTTGACAAAAAGTGTTCACATGTCCTCATTGATGTTTGCAAGGGGAAAGTCTGCTGCGCCAATTTAACGGGGTTCTAGAGTACAGATCAGTTTTGAAATATTCTTTGTAATCTTACAGATTCAATAAAAAAAGAAAAATATTTCCATTTATTGTAACAATTTACACATAATTACTTTAATTTATTCACTTAAAAAATAATTTGTTAATATTTTAATGTTTTATTGTCTGAAAAAAGGAATTATTTCAGCAAATGTTGAAAACATTAGTGTTTTCAACATTAGGCACTGGTCTAGTTGGCATTGTTGGGCCAACAATGCCAACTAGACCACGGCCTACCAGCCCGGAAAATCTAACTTCTATTGACTCCGACCGTGAAAGCCTACGATCCTTGCCCAAGGTAGCAAGTGTGTCCATATTTTTACTGGTGATTGTCAGGGATTAGGGAGCCAATTCTCCAATGCCCACAAACCTCAATAGTACCTGTTATTTCTTATCAAAACTGTTATTTGAATTTGGAGAAGGTACAAATATGTGGTATGAGTGATCACCAGTGGTTGTGAAAATGGTGATTAAGAGGAGTGGTTATTTAAGTGGTTTTAATCAATTGAAAATTTGTAAAAATGAGAAGAATCTTGTTAATGTACTAGGTGTCTATATAAAAATACTGTAGAGACATCTAAAGGAAAAACTCACAAAGGGCAAATTTCTTAAATTTCCTGAAGAAGGGAAAATAGCTCGTTGAGCTTTTTGTACCAATATTTGTTTTGTGATCTGTAAAGGAAAGAACAAAAATGTTTCTAGTTAAGAAATTTGAAACTCAAGTTATAAAATTGAGTTAAAAGTTACAAAGAGAGAAAAAGTTACAAATTTGAGGGTTTCTTTTGAGCAAATTAGGGAAAATTAATGCCTCAGATGAAGCCATCCTAGAAAATCCTAAGGAAAGTCCACAAGAAAACTGAATGCCTGAATCTGATATCAATTTTGAATTTATTCAAAATTGTCCTTGAATGTCCTTATTCATGCAACAGTTCAAAGACTGGGTTCAAAATTTTTCTTTATTCTTAAGAGTGAGTGAGTACCTGCTTATAGGATTGACTGTCCAGAAGAATTCTGCTGCCTTATTTATAGTTACTAATGATTTTAAATTTTTGTGTTAAAGGGAGATTTAAGACAACCTGGAAGCTGGAGATACACACTTTTTAAGGAATGGGCAGCTGTTAGAAAGTCATTCAGATACCAACCACTGGATTATATCAAAGATTATTTTGGCGTGAAGATTGGACTATACTTTGCATGGCTTGGTTTCTATACACATATGTTAATTCCTGCATCCGTTGTTGGTGTCTTATGTTTTATTTATAGTTGTGTTACACTGTATAATAATCAACCAAGGTATGTGTATAAATTACAGTGACGCTCATATCACTTTTGTCCTAATTAATTTTTATTTGGATACATTTTCTTTTTCAGTGAAGACATCTGTAATAAACATCAGAGTATTAAAATGTGTCCTCTCTGTGATTACTTTTGTGATTATTGGAACTTGGAAGAGACATGTCTTCATGCTAGAGTAACTTATCTCTTTGACAATCCAAGCACAGTTTTCTTTGCTATATTTATGTCTTTTTGGGGTATGTGGTTCTTTTTGATATTAGAAACTATTATGGTTAATTTTACTGTTGTTAATGATGTTTTTATTTTATATAATTTTTTGTAAGTAATATTTATAATAGAAGGAGTAGTAATAGAAGTAGTAGTCTTGGCTTAGAAAATGAATTCATTAATACAGAATTTACTTTCTCCTTGTAAGAAAATATAGTCTAGTTAGCAAGTACAGCAAAAGGAGGGTTATCTGGAAAAAGGTCTTAAAAATTTTGTTTATGCACATATTGTATGTACGCTGGCAATAGTCACAGTTTTTGACCTCCAAGACCCTGTTCTATTTCAGGGAGACTCAATAAAACCAGTATTTGTCAGGTTATCCTCATCAATTTTTGAACCTTAACTCCAGTAAGAATATAATTTCAACCAATTTTAAAGGTGAAAAAATTATCAACAACTTTTGCGCAGAACATTTTTTCAGAAATTTATCACTATGGGAGCTACTGCCTTTACAAAAAATGCTATCTTTTAAAGATTGGCATTCAGTGGTAAGGCCCTACCAGCCATTTACTTCATTAGTTTCTTCCTTTGTTCATATTTCAACTTCTTGTACTTAAGGAGAGTGGGCAGACATTCTGAAGCTCAAGAAATCATGCACAGATTGTAATTCTCCCCTACATGACACACACAATAATTAACTGTTTTTGAATTGAAAAAATAATTGTCTAATAACCTTGTGACCAGTTTGAGAATTTTCCTGCTGTCCTAATTTAGGTAGAAGCTAATACATTTTGCTGTATTTTGTTGTGAAGAGTTGTACTAAAATATGATTATCACCTTTTTCATCAAGGAATCAGTTTTTAAATAGCAAAAGAAATGGCAGGCAAGATTGTTGTGAATAAAGGAGGAGTTGCCAGGCTTCAAAAATCTATATTAACTGAAAAAAAAAACTTGCCAATTGACAGTTGTTGAAACAGTTAAAAACATTATAACAAATATTGCAATATTAATGGCTACCAACTTAGATAGTGTTACCAGCGTTAGTGAAGTCTTTCCCATCCACCCCATTCCTCAGAGCTAATCAGTTACAGTGTGATTTACCCCCCAATATATATCTATATATATCTATATATCTATATATATCTATATATAATATCATATTATAATAGTATATAATATATATAATATATTATATAATATATATATTGTAACTTCATTCTGCCACATACCTATATTATATATATCATATAAATAATATAATAATCGAACTGTCATTGCACATACCTGAAGAAAATGTTTTATGACCTTTTCCAGGTAAAGTACTTGTCAACTGGGCTAATACAAAGCAACAATAAAAAAACAACTATGATTCATGTTGTACCATATTTCACACTTGAATTTTACCACACAATCTTGTCAAATTGAACACAGAAGAAGGGGTATTAATAGTACTGTTAATGATTTTATTGTGTGATAAGAACATATATTATAAGTATTTACTTGCTCCTGGAGACGCTGCATTCTAGGCATAGGTGTCAGCATTTCAGGTGCCAATCTGGGAAATGCATCTTTGAATTTTGGCCCTGAGGTAGGTCACAGAATGGTGGTTGAAACATTGGCTTCTGTGTGTAGAATGCAATGCCTCCTAGACAGCCGAGTAAATAATGGCTCCGGCTGCAGAAGCCTATGCTCTCTTTTGTATGATATGAGTATTATATTCTTGTGAATTTGAGAGTTACTTGTGGCAAATTATTTTCTTTTTAAAGATAAAGTGATGAATAACTGAAAAATGTGAGAGTTGGAATGGGGCATAAACCATGGCAACTATTCTACATGTGTATGTGTGCATGCATGCATATGGGTGTGCGGTTTGTGTGGGAGGTGGTGGGTGCACAGGTGAGGGAATGCATGTGCACAGAAGACAAATGTGTACATGGGCGGTTTTTGAAGAAATGCTTCTCTCAGTAACAGCATAGCAATAAGTGATTTGAAACTGAAGTGCCAATCAGCAACCAGCTAACTAGCGACTGATGTGGCATACGTAGAAATCAAGCACCTGTAGAAGGAAGACAAATGTTGAGGGAGTGAGGTACTTGAGTTATAGAGACAAAATGGCATTGGGAAAATTGCCACTTGTAGGGATTTGCAGAAAAATCTGCATGTGCATAAAATTGCTTCCAAGCGGGTACCATATACACAACTGGAAGTTGAGAAGTTATTGTGAAGTGGAACATGCTCTGATCATCTAGAACAATGACATCAGGACAGAGACTGTGTGCCTTCACAAATTGTCATAATTGATGAATTTTGGGTCAAGGCATATGAACAAGAGCTCAAACATCAGTCTACAGAATGGTGACATGCCAGATTAACAATAAGACAGAAGTTTCTTCTCCTGTGAAATTGATGTTATTAATTGTTGCATGTGATATCAGGGGCGATTTTGTGTGTGCCACTGTAGACAATAATAGACAAATCATGGCAAAAATACATATTTCAAATACTGTGGAAAGGGAGATAATTAGAATACAGATGATGAGGGAAAAGGTGAAGCAGATGGTGTTTAAGCCCTATCACATCATTGGCAGCATTTTATAAACATTGCTAGATAATACTTTGAGGGCCTAACTAAGATCTCTTGGAAGGGTAAAGGAATCATTGTGTGATAGACAGTTGATGACAGAAATAGACATTTCAAATACCGTGCAATGACATATAACTAGAATCACATATAATGAGCAAGATGGTGAAGCAGATGGCATTCAAAGCAACCACATCATTGGGAGCATGTTAAGAAGCCATAACTTGTGCCTTAATCCTTATGAACAACAAAATTTGAAAGTTTGAATTCTAATTATACCGCCGCTATAGTTCATTGGAAATATTACTATTTCCTTATAATTTGTAAAGAATGTTAACTTTCCTTGACTATTAAGTGTCTGTAGCTTGGTGATTTGCTAGAAGTACATGATTCATACCAGTGGTCTTGAGTTATTTGTTAATAACAATAAACAGTTGAATAGTTGGTCAATTTACATGTAGATTTTTGGATTTGTGGAATAGCTTATTAGCATAGAAATGATGCAAGCACTTTTGTAAGAAAGCTTAAATATATTTTTTCTATTCTTTCTTAAGCTGCCACTTTCTTGGAACTTTGGAAGCGGTATTCAGCAGAAATTACTCATCGATGGGATCTGACTGGTTTTGACATTCAGGAGGAGCATCCTCGCCCACAGTACTTAGCTCGCCTTGCTCACATCAAAAAACGAGAGATCAACGTGGTGACCAACACCATGGAACCTCATGTTCCTTTTTGGCGAATGCGTGTACCAGCTACCATTCTTAGCTTTTCTGTTGTGTTGTTATTGGTGAGTCTTAGGTAACAAGCATTGTCAAACCTTACACTGTTAGTACAGAGCCAGAAATACATATCTTTTATACAGTTATTATGAAGGGAAATGGAATAACTTGTTCAGGTTCCTGAAAAAAACATTATGATACTCATTGAATAAGATGCAAATAAACAAAAGCAAAAGTACTGAATCGTAACATTAAATATCCCAAAATTCTTGAAGGTATTGAATGGTTTGAGTTTGAATGCTAGTTATATTCTGCTTCCTTTTTTTAAAACATTACATATTTCCAATCTTCATTTAGGTAGCAATGGCTGTGGCTGCTGTTTTGGGAGTTGTTTTGTATCGGATGTCTATGCTAGCTGCTCTGTCTGTCTATGGCAGTCCTGAATTTAACAGCTATGCAATACTCTTTACCACCACAACTGCAGCATCTATCAACTTATGTTGCATCATGGTTTTTAATTGGGTATGACTGCCTATAACTATTAAACTGTCTGAAACAGCACTATTCTGTTGATACAGCAATGTAATAATAATAATAATAATAATAATAATAATAATAATAATAATAATAATAATAATAGTTATTATTATTATAAAATTATAATAAAAATAATAAAAGGCATTCCATAACAAATTTATCCACATTTATCAAACATCCAAAATAAATGTCTGTAACATAATTAAACAACTAATACAAATCTTTTACATATTGACTTAATTTTCTCCTAAACTTTTTTAAACATGTAATGGCTTTCAAGCGTAGAATGCCTCATAGAATGCCTGTATAAGAATTTCTGACTGCTGACATTTTGCAAAAATGTGTTCTAATTTTATCAATTTTCTGAGTAGTTCTTCTATCTTCTAAGTTTTCGACTTGAATAGCATTTAATAAATAAATAGTCAAATTATAAAAAGTTTTAAACATGAAAATAACATTACAATTGATTCATTGCTTATTCCATTTCAAAATATCTCATTCCTCTGGTTCATTGTTTCTGTAATCTCGAAATTTGACTCATTTATTAAAATAATTCCAGTATATGAATAACTTCTATTATTAACTTTTCGTTTTTCTCTGTGGATACGATAACACCTCTCCAGCTTTTTTTTTTTTTTTTAGCATATAATCAACATAATTTTCAAATGCCAATTTCTGGTTAATTATTTTACCCAAATATTTCATTTCACTAACTTTGCTAATTATTTCCCCTCCCCTTGAAAGTACATTTAACGATCTGTCAATTGTTTTTTACGAGTTCTTCTTGGTAACATAATTTTAGTTTTTTCATAATTTATTAACAATTTATTTACAAACATCCATTTCTCTCAATGATTAAACAGTATTGTAATTTTTCTTCAATTTCTTTTACATTCTGACCTTCAACAAAAAGGACAGTATCATCAGCAAATAAATGAATTTTAAAGTCAAACTGATTAATTTTTTAAAATAAGTTTTTTCAATATCATACATATATAATGCAAATTATATTGGCATTAAAACCAGTCCTTGCAGACCTGCTAATAATGTCAATTTCATTTTAGAGGTCATCATTAAATTTAACTCTGTTTTTATTTTCCAAATTTATTTAAACCACTTTTCTTTTGTTCCATATAATGCATAACTAGTAATTTTTATCTATTGTTCCAAAAGCTCTCTTTAGGCCTAAAAATAAAACTTCCACCAATTGTTTTCATCAACACATATCATCCATTAGTTTACTGGAGTTTCACAAGAATGTTTCTCTCTAAAATTATTAATGATCTCTTAAATATTTTTTTTAAGATAAGAATTTTACTAATGGGTCTAAAATTAAAATCCATTATTCAAATATAATTATTTTATGACGAGTGTTTGATACTTTTTGAATAGGTATCACCGTTGAAATCTTCCATTCATTTCGTAATAATTACCACACCATTGTTCATGAATTATTAAGAATCAAAATTAAATTATCACGTGACCATCATAAGAAATTTTTTAAACATTAATTAGTATATTGTAATATAAATCATTCTTTTTTAGTAAGCTTGTTATAGTTTTTTACTGAATAGATATCTGTTAATTTAACTGAATGAAATTTATTTACAGACCAACTTTTATTATTATACATAACTATATTCAGATCATCAGAAATATCTACAAGTTTTTGTATTCTTTCAATAAAAAAGATATTAAATTTATTTGTTATATTATTTGTCACTATTTATTTCATCAAATATAATATCCTCATGATATGAGATTTTTTTTGTTTTCTAACAAGAGTATTTCTGTCTGTTTTATAGTTATATCAGTCTTAATCATTTTTAGTTAGGCAAACTATTGTGTATATAATTTTTTATTAAATTTAAATTGTTCATTGCTTTATCATACCATATCCTATCCACTTTTTAAGGTATTTTTATTGCGTTCTTTGGAGCAAATTTATCTAATATCTGCATAAATGTATCCATAAAGCAATTAGCATTAAGTTTGCAGTATTATTTTGCTTATCGTCATATTTACATTTCTCTAATCATTAAAATCTTCAAAATGACATTTGAATAAATTACATTTCTCAAATTCTAAACAATTTTCTTTTGTTTGATGATTTGATTTCCAAGATATTTCTATTATTGTATGATCACTTATCATATAATGTTTTGTGTGTGTTTCATTTAATATATTTTCAAAAACTAAATCAATCTTAGTTGAACTTTTGTTTGTAGTATCGTCAGTGTTGCTTTCTTTATACATTGATAAAATCCATTAAATTGGATCAATAATATCAACTTTTTCATATAAAAAGATTTTGATAAATAATCTATGTTAAAATTACCCATTAAGAATGAAGTTTTGTCAATATAACTCATAAATTTCATCCATAAAATTGAAAAGATCATCATCAGTAATTCTGTTTGTTATATTTATTTATATTCATGTGTAGATTTCCATACTTGAAAATTTGGAAAGCTTATTTTTTCTTGTATCCAAAGTTTTCACTTACAGTTGATTTGTCATTTTTATTCTTCTCCTCTTGACTTTATATTTTCTGTAATAAAACTTTAATACGTTTCAAGATGTGATATTTTTAAAATTATCAAATAATTATGCCATATTAGACATATAGTGTTATCAGCCAACATTTTCTGTGACTAATTTATAGACAATGTGTTCATATATTGTTCTAATATTAACTTAAACACACAATTTTGTAATTCAGTTTATGGGTCAATTAGAGTCTAAAACCAAGGAAAATTGCATTGGTAAAGTGCCTTTCTTCTTCTGGGACTCTAGATCTGTTGTGTATATAAATTTATTTGGTCTACTGATCCTACATAAGGCAAAGTAATAGTTTTAACATAATATCACAATTTTCATTTACTTATTGCTGAATAGCTGTATTTCTCTTTAGATCTACGGGTGGCTTGCTGAATATTTAACAGAATTGGAACTTTTGAGAACCCAAACAGAATTCGATGACAGTCTTACTCTCAAGATATATTTGCTTCAATTTGTGAATTACTATGCATCCATCTTCTACATTGCTTTTTTCAAGGGCAAATTTATCGGATTTCCTAGCAAGTACAATCGCCTATTCACATATCGGCAGGAGGAGGTACAGTATGAAAAAATTAATGTATATAAATATTTTTATTAATTTTGTAATTCCAAATGCTAACTCTTCATTTCAGTGTGGTCCTGGTGGATGTTTACTTGAATTGTGTATTCAGTTATCTATCATCATGGTGGGGAAACAAGCTATGAATACTGTTTTGGAGATGCTATTTCCGTAAGATCTCAAGATCAATATTTGGGTAGATATCAATTAGGCAGATTGTAATTGGTTGTTTTTTTCAGGCTCTTTTTTAAATGGCTTAATACATTAAAAGTGAAAACTGGTGTTCGACCAGGCTCTGGATATACTCGCAGTACTCACCAATGGGTCAAAGACTTTAAGCTTGTGGAATGGGGTCCTCGTGGTCTCTTCCCAGAATATCTGGAAATGGGTTGGTATTCACAAAATATTTTATGTTAATTAATTATAGAAATGGAATTTTTATGTTTAATTTTCATTGCAGTTTTGCAGTATGGCTTTGTCACCATATTTGTAGCAGCTTTTCCTTTGGCTCCCTTTTTTGCCCTTTTAAACAACATTTTGGAAATGCGCTTGGATGCAAAAAAACTATTAACATATTTTCGACGTCCTGTCACTCAGCGAGTTAGAGATATTGGCATATGGTTTCGTATTCTGGATTCTATTGGGAAGTTGTCTGTAATTACTAATGTATGTTATTTAATATTACTTGAATTTATTTGCATTCTACTGTGTTGTTTGTTTAATCTAATTTTATTTTTTGTGTTATTAGGGCTTTATAATTGCATTCACATCAAACTTCATCCCAAAGCTTGTATATGTTACATCTGTGTCTCCTGATCATTCCTTGTCAGGATTTCTGGAGCATTCTCTGTCTTTTTTCAACACCAGTGACTTCGAAAAGGGATCTGAGCCAGCTCATGTCATAGAAAATGTAACAATTTGCAGGTATTTCATAATGATTCAAATGTAAATTATTTAATAATGATTTCATGATGAATAAAACTGAATTTTTACTTTAATAATTTCTTCTATACTGGTCTTTAATACTTCTTTAATATTTAAAGATTTATTTACAAAATTATATTTATTAAATTAATGTCTTCAAGAAATTTTAACCTATAATAAAATACTACATAATTGAAAGAGTTACTAAGAATAGCCAAAATGTAAAAGATTTGTGTAATAAAAGTAGAAGTGTTACAGTTGAACCTGGCTAACTGGAATTTCAAGGGGCAGAAATTTTAATCTTATTTAAAGAGATTATGTATATATAACCAGTTTCTGAGTTATTAAAGTTCAAAAAGTTTCCATCTCATTTCTAGAGGAATATACAGATTCAAATCACATTTATTTCGATTACAGAGTTGAGAGTTAAAAAATGGTAATATTTTTACTTTAAATTTTATTTTTAGGTGTGTTATGAATTATATTTCATTAAAAATGTTATTAAACATTTTTAAAAAGTTTCTTGCTAGTTGGAGTAATAAAATGTAATGTATTATTATTATTATTATTATTATTATTATTATTATTATTATTATTATTATTATTATTATGTACATTTCGGTTTGAGCCATTGGCTCATTCTGATAACAAGGATTCACGATTTTGGCAGGTGATTTCTCCACCTTTTGCAGGGTCATTCTCTATTTCTTCCCACTGGAATGTATCCAACATCAGGCACACCAGCCATTCTGACTCATTGGTTGTAGATGTTAAAGCCAGCTTTGCAGATGTTCTGTGATCTCTTATCATACCAATGTTATTTCCAAATCCCATCGGATGCGTTCATTTTTCTGATGATCTTCTAGTTTGTAACCTTTCTATAGACCACATTTATGATGCTTCTCTTCTCTGCAAATCTTTTTGTAAGTGTCCATGACTCTGAACTATACAGATGTAACAGTATAGCTATGCCTTTGTGTGCTTGCAGATCAGTATTTGCTTTAACTTAAGTGCCTCATACCCATTTTAATTTGCCAATAATTTGTTGGTATATGTGTTGATTTTCAAAATCATTGGAATTATGAGACGTATCCTAAATACTTAAAACAATTCATTTATTCTAATTTTTATCAATTATAATTTTCGCTATTTTTGATTCTTTTCATGAAAAGGCAAATACCTTTTTTTTTTATAGAAGACACCTTCATGTATTCCAAGGTAATGTTGTAGAGAGAGAATACTGCTCTTTGTAAATTGCCTTCAGAATTTAGTAAATTAACAAGTCATAAACAAATAACCAAGTGTTTAACATTTTATCTTCAATGCACTAGGGGTATTTTATATGTTATTGCCATTGAATAATTATGTCATTTACGTAAATAAGTTTTGACACTACTGCACATGAATGTCAAAGATAAAATCAGAATAGTTGGCATACCAGAAGAAAACTGGATGAAACACTACTCTACCCTGTGGAACAATCCAATTCTCAGTTCTAATGAAGTGCTGGAAGGAATAAGCCAAATCTCTGACAGTGATGAACTAAATAGCTCCCTGAATATAGAAGAACTCGCGGTAATATTAAGGAAAGCAAAAAGTAGGAAATGCCCCGGACCAGATGAGGCCAACATTAAAGTCATAAGATATGGAGGAAAGGAGCTGGAAGAAATATTATTAGAATTTTTATCTAAGTATGGCAAGAGAAAACAATTCCAATAGAGTGGCAAGAGGGTTAGGTTATTAATATTCACAAGAGGGGCTCGAAGAAGATATGTAACATTTTATTGCTATCAACAGCTTCCAAGCTATAAACAAACATGCTGAGGAACAGATTCAAGATGTGAGAATTTCATGGGGGAAATGCGATGTGAATTCCGAAACAGTAGAAGCAGACACCATCTTTTCATTACAGTTGTTAATAGACAAAAGAAGGGAAAGGAATCTATCAACTTTTATATTTATTGATTATGAAATGGCTTGCGACAAAGTTATTAGACAGAAACTCTGGGAAATACTAGAAGAGGAGAAAATTGTTACGAGAGGGACAAAAGTTCACAGCAATAATAACCAACAGTGGCTTAAAGCAAGGATGTGGATTATCATCCATCCTCTTCAACATATAGTATATTTACCACTTAGTGAGAAACTGGAGAAGGAAAGGTAGACAAGGAATACAAATCACAAAAGATGAGAAGATAGTTACAATCTTGTAGGCTGATGACCAAACTATTTTAATGGGTTCTAAAGACAGTTGACAAAAGGCAGTTTTTGAACTGTGAAAAGCGGCCCAAGTATATCTATGAAGATAGCAGTTGAGAAAACAAAAGTTATGGCAATACAAGACAAGGGACAAAGGAGAGCCAAAATAGTAATAAATGGAAAATTAGTGGAACTAGTAAATACATGTTCATACCTTGGAAATATTGTAAGTATATACTATCAAACTCAGGAAGACATAGAAAACAAACTTAATGTAGAACAATTAACAGACACATTGACAGAGACATGGACTCTCAAACAAAACTGAAACTTCACAATATAGCTGCTAAACCTAGAATCCTTTATGTCTCTGAATCATGGATAATGAATGAGAGACAAAGAAAAACTATGAGCAGCACATATGAGATTTCTGAGACACCTCATGGGAATCACAAGAAGAGACAGACTGAAGAATAAAAACATCAGAAAGAAATTGGAAACCAAATGATTAGTAGAACAGTCTCAAAGAAGATGGAAAGATCATTTACAGAGAATGAACAACAACAAATTTGCAAAATGAATCTGGAAGTACAAACCAATAGGGATCAGAGATAGGCGGATCCCTAAAGAGGTGGCAACAGCAGGATAACTTGGAAGACTAATAACACAGGATTGCAAAAAAGAAATTTTTTTCATTTGTATGGAATATTTTTGCTAAATTATATGCTTTAAAGGTCACAGATTCTAAATATGACTTCCAAAACATTCCATTGCTTTTTTTTTTTTCCCCAAAAGAAAAATAAACATTTAATAAAAACACATATTTTTAGTGAACTAAATATATTTATTTTCTTGCACGAAATAAACAAATTGTTTCTGATATTTATACACAATTTTAGGTCTACTTTTTTTCTTGTGAAACTTTTTTTTTTCCTTTGATGTTTCTCCAAACTCCTTTCCCGTTTCCTTCTTTGGTTTCTTGATTGAGCATCCAACAGTTGTCAGCTAGCGTATTGACATCCCATTTTTCTTAGAAATATTTCTCAAAATCACAGACATCCTGGTGAAATCTTGCACCCTTTTCTTCTCTATAAGCTCCCAAGTTTTCAAGAAAGTAGTCAATACAAGAGTGTAAGAAATGAACTTTTAAGCTCATCTTGCATCCTTGAAATTTATATGCTGACAGCATGCATTGTGCAATAGTGGTTCCTTAGTATTTCCCAAAAACTTGTGCACTACATTCTTGAAAGAGTCCCATGCTTCTTTTTTCTTCAGACAGCTTCGGAAACTTGGATCACAGATATCAGAAATGATCCCCATCTCTTGGCAGTGGTTTGACAAACTACTTTATAAGACCCAATTTAGTATGAAGAGGTGGTAATAATTCTTGTTGTAGGGG